CTGCAGAGAGTTTGGCACTATTTCCCTTCGTTTGACATGACCAAACCACCTCAGACGGTGTTGCCGGCATTCGTCCTTTACATCATCTAAACCAGCACGATGCAGGATTTCGGTAGATTTGATGTGGTTCTTCAGACTAATTCGTTGCATCCATCGGAGCATTTTCATGTCGGTTCGTTGAAGTTGTTGTTCCAGTTTGGCTGTCATTGGCCATGTTTTGGCACCATATAAAAAAACCGGACGTATCACAGATTTATAAAGTCTTGATCGTAGTGGTAGTGGGATGTCACGCCGCATCAATATAGAGGCAAGGAGATGCCATTTATTCCAGGCTGCATGTATGCGTGCTCGAACGGCAGCTTCAGCTATTCCAGTACAATCTAGAACATCTCCTAGATATTGAAACGATGTGACTTTCTCTATTTTAATGGCTTCAAAAACAGTGCTACTTCGAGTTTGTTGTTGTGGATTGATGCAAGCAGGACAAACAAAATTGGACACTTTAGATAAAGTACCAATTATTTTTGAACAACGTTTGTGACACCACTGGTTACACTGCTGACACTTGATTGAATTGTTACCTACACCAGCTTTGCAAACTGAACAGGGCCATCGTCCAGTAGCTGTGGATTGGATGGGTTCACCAGTGTTCATTGCTTTGGTTTTGCTGATGTTGACTTTGAATCTATGATCAGCGAGTCTGGTGTTCCAATCTTCAAACATCCGTGCTGCATTCTGCTCAGACATGGCTGTTAAAACGATATCATCAGCATATATTAGATTCTAAATGTCATCAGTGCGTATCGGTTTTGTGATTTCTTCCATCACAGTTATAAATAACAGTGGACTGAGAATCGAGCCTTGGTGAACTCCAATGTCGATGTCAAATGCATCTGTGTTTCCAACCGTTTTGCTGACGAGAGTCTAGGCATTCGTATACATTTCCATCACAAGTCGAACAAGATATTCTGGAATGAGTTGTCGACGTAGACTCCACCTGATTGCTTCACGGGGAACTCGATCAAATGCTTTTTCAAGGTCTACAAAAATGTGTGATAGTTGGCAATTTTCAGGGAGTGTTCTAACAGACGTATACCCCGATATGATGAACAATTCAATAAATCATCTTTGCTTTTATATAGCGGAACTTTCATGTTATAGTTTCATTCAGTCGGCGTTGAGCAATTTCTCCACACTTCACGGCAAAGTTGCAGTAACGTTTGGATACCTGCAGTACCAGATGCTTTGATAATGTCATTTCTGTAAGCTCCTCTACAGTGATGTCTGGAATCTGACCTTCAATGGGTGGAGCGTCAAAGTTGACATTGATGGGATTTGTTTCATTTAACAGACGGTTGAAGTATTCTCTCCACTGTAACTTGATCTCATCTTGTTCAAGAACCATCTCATTTTTGTCGTTTTTGATACATGAGGCACCAACTATGTCTTGTTTCGTACGCTTTGCTTGTTTTGCTATACGATACAGAGATTTCATTTGTTCACCTTTGCTTTTAGTGAGCCACTCTCTGCACTGATCTGTCCGAGCCAGTGCAACTTGACGTCTTGCATAGTTCTTCTCACGGTAAATTTAATGGTCATCAACAAACTTTGATTTTTCCCACTGCTTGTATGCAACTTTCTTTTCAGCTTTTGCATTTTGTACACTGTCATTCCACCACCAAGTGTCCCGTTCATTCTGGCGTTTTGTACCAGTTTTCCCACAAACTGTAGTTGCAGCGTTTATCAAAATGGTTTTGTATGTACTCCAATCTGTACTAGCTTGCGATTGGTGGTCTAACTGTGTGGCGACAATCTGTTGAAATTTTTCTCGATGAATATTGCTTTTCAGCTTCCACGTTTTGATTCTCCGAGGCATTTGTTTAGACTAATGTTGTGACAATTCGACAACCAGGTCTGCCACAAGGAGTCTGTGTTGGGCGACACATGATTCGCCAGGTATAACTTTGACATTTTTGAATAACCTTCGGTATTGTTTCCTGACAGCGAAGAAATCAATTTACGTGGCTGAAAAATTTAAGAAAAAATGTCAAAGTTTAAAATTGTTTTAAATTTTGGCTCCTCCGTTAAAGTTGTTTAGATCCGCCACCGGAGGTCCAGGTGTGTTAAGTGGGCAGATGAAAGGGCTTATTTGAAGAGGCTTATTCTATTGCGTAATCCTATATATATATATATATATATATATATATATATATATATATATATATATATATATATATATATATATATATATATATATATATATTGATTAAATCAAAAGGGATTAGTAGATACAGAGTGGCCTATTGATGGTTAAGAAGAAATTGCAAATAAGAAAGAAAGGTTTAGACCAAGAATGAAATTGTTTATGGGTCGGTTATTAAGAGAATTCGAATAGCTTTTCTAACCTGATTGAATTTTATAACTAATAATCTAGTAATTATGTCTCGTTGTTTTTGCGATATAATTTAAAAATTTAATATGACAAAACTTAAATTATACTTTTAGTGTAAAATTGAATAAAATAATAAAGATGATAATAAAGAAAGATATGTGATCAAGACTTTTACTAAACCAAGTTGAGGAAAGTCTAAAAATTCATCCAAAAATGTTTAGAGCTGAAAGATCAAATCGCGGTGTTTGTAGGTGGATCCGACCAACAATGTTCGGAAAACCCCAAATGAACTGAACTACCATCAATATAAAATAATGAAAACGTATTTTGTAGAGTTGCTATCTGGTCAGAGCATTCTTCTGATTGCTCTTTCCTTGATGCTGTTGAACCATGTTAAATTGATTTCATGAACAAAATTTTTTTTCAGGAAGAAAATCTCATCAAATTGAAAAAGGATAATGACAAATTGAAAACTCTCATACAAGGCCTTTTCAAGGAAATAAATTTATTTGAACGTTTCAAGCCAATTTCGTGTTTAGACAACAAAATACTGAACGAAATTAGGCCTCAGATCGTGGATAACAATGCAGAACAAAATAACAAAAAGAGCAGTCACTACGCCGAAAACAAGTTCGCTAATATCGTTAAAGATGACAACAATAATGATGAAGATGGTTGGAATTGTGGAGCCTGTACATATTTTAATCATCATACAATTGCTATTTGCGAGATGTGTGAAATGCCAAAAATTTTATTTTAATGTTTAGAGACGCAAATGAAGAT